GAGTCCCCACGTGGTCTCCTTCGGTACCAGCTCGTGTCCTCATCTCTTAGAAGGAGCAGTCATGGATGAGGGCCCACCCTCATGGCCTCATTCCAACGTCGTCACCTGTTTCATACTTCCGTTCTGAGGCAGCTGGGGCGGAACCGCAGCATCTGAATTGGGGAGCACAAGTCAGCACAGGGTGGCCCCAGCAAAGCTCCCTTCCCTCGTGGCTGCAAGGTGTGAGAAGAAGACTGCAGTGCTTGCCTTTCGGGCCGGGTTTCTAATTGGCATGCTCTTTTTCTTTCTGGCCTTAGGAAGAACGAATGCTGAGGTGATGACCGCCCTGTCCCAGGGCTACAGGATGCCCCGCATGGAGAACTGCCCAGATGAGCTCTATGACATCATGAAGATGTGCTGGAAAGAAAAGGCAGAGGAGAGGCCGACGTTCGACTACTTGCAGAGCGTCCTGGATGACTTCTACACCGCCACGGAAGGGCAGTACCAGCAACAGCCTTAGCGCATGGGAGCGGGCAGCGGCCTCGCTTCAGCAGAGGTGTAACCGTCGCTGGTTGCACTAGTTACTTGGCGAGCTGGGGTCAGCTGCCAAGCCTGGCTCCTGAAAGCAGAGGCCAAGTTTCTCAGGAAGCGCACTCACCACACAGGAAGGCCTTCTGTCCTCCTGGACTCATGCCCACTGGCTGCAGCCAGGACTGCTCCTCTGCTGGTCATCTCGCTTTGCCGGACCAACATTTGAACACAACCTCCTGAGAAGAAAACACCTGTCGTCTTCAAAAACGCACGCACACGGGCTATGTGTTTACAAGCGGATGCGTGATTCAAGGGTTCAGAAACCACTGCCATGGATCCCCGATGGTAGCACAACGTAACTCACATATGAAGCTGAAATAACCAGACGCCTAGCATGACACATCTTTGTATTTTCTCTATGCTTTGGCTTACTTGTTTTTAAAAAGTACTAATCCATTCTGTTAAATTTTGCAGGTAAAATGAGCAGCTTAAAATGTCTTTCTCAGATTTCGATGTTCTTTTCCCCTACATCCTGCCCCAAATCTGACTGTTAAGCATTTTCCTGCCGTGGACACCGCTCACTCCGATCCGCTGGACACACTGCAACACCTCGTCTTCCTCCTGCAGGGTTGTCCCGTGTGAGCACGCACAGTCGATATGGACCCCTCAACTGGACAGGGCTCCCCCAGACCTCCCAGGAAAGAGAGAGCCTCTGAAACTCCTCTACCTTAAGAAGAAATATTTTTAACAGTCCAGCTTTTTGATTACACAACACAGACTTTTATTGACAGCCTACTTTGGAGGAACAGTTAAGATTTTCATCTCTGCAGAACCTTACAGGGCTTTCTGAAATGTAAGAGTTTCCTTTTTGCTTCGAATGATTTGAACATTATTTTAAGGATCAAATATTAATTTTAGTTGTATTCTAGAAAGTAAAAATGCCATACTTTGGGCTATTTTTGTGATTCGGCAATCTTTTTAAGTTGTGGAAGGTGTGAGAGTATTTATACCCGAGAATATGAAGGAAAGGAAGTGACCGAGGAGGCCTTAGCGAGTCACTGTGACAAGGGATGCAAGCGCTTTCGCGTCCTTGACTTCTCTACTGTCAGCCTCGAATGGAAACTGCTGTAGCACATCAGGCTTCACGTGTGCTGTTGTGTACATACCTAATATTTCTATTTTTCGATTTTATTTTAATACACTTGACCTAATAACATCTCAAGCTTTTTACTTGTGTTTAACATTTTCAACTATTGCCAATGTGAACATGAGAACCAGTGGGGGGTCGGGGAAGGAGAGGTCCTTCCTCGTAGCTTCGTGGTTTTAGTTTGGACAAATTCTGCCTCATTCTCAGAACATGTGATTGGGGAACTGAAGAGCTGATGGCCTAGATACTCATTCATGGGGGCCAAATGAGGTTCATTTCCAAATGGCTCAGCAGGGGCTACTCAAATGCCATTTGTGGGGGGCAGCAAATGGCATAGTGATTACGTAACTGGGCTGCCACGTGGTCGACTGCAGTTCAAGTCCTGGGCCCAGTGGCTTGAAAATCATACTGGGTGTATGTGTGTGCGTGCCCAAGATCCTGGGAGGAGAATGGAGGAAAAGGGATTGTGATATGGCCATACCCCTGGTGGGTGATTTCTCACTTTCCCTCTCACTGCTTCTGTCTCTCTCTCTGTCTCTCCCTCTCCAATGAGTGCATGTGCCCTAAGGCCAAAACCTCTAAAAAAAACATGCCATCTGTATGCTTAGGCTTGGAAAAGGGATAAAATATTCCACCTTTTTCTAAGTTTTAACTTCTTATGTGTGATGTTTTTCAAATGTCCTTTCTGAACTACTCTAAATTCCCTACTCACAAGTGCTGTATTCATAAAGAGAATGTCATCGTACAGCATCCGCACAGCTGAGCACCTTATTCACAGAGGGAAGTTTTCTGCGTACACCCCCATTTGCATCTTATCTCAGAAGTGCACATATCACCCAGTATGTTACATGGAAAGGAGGTGTAAAGAATCCCTAAGGTGAAAAGAAGTCTCTAGAAAGTCACCAATCTTCCCTGGTTTTGCTTCTCTCCCATCTGCTTCCCTCTCTTTTTTGGAGAGGTTTTCGCTATAGGGTACGTGTGCTCACCAGACAGACAGAGACATAGAGACAGAAAGCGAGAAATCCCCCCCCAGGGGGGATGGCCACACCACAATCCCTTCCCCTCCATTCTCCTCTCGGGATCTTGGGCACGCACACACATGCGCCCGGCGTGAGTTTTAAGCCACCGGGTTCGGGACGCGAACGAACCGCGGTCGACTATGTGGGAGTCCAGCAACATAGCCATTACGCTAACTGCTGGTTCCCCCTCTCATTTTTCATTGGACCTTCCCTCCATGTGTCCCCCTCATCAGCTCAGACTCGTCACCAGCATGTGCCAGAGCTACGTGTTTGATCCGTGAACAGCAAGCGCAGCCCCTTCCCCGGGCAGGACTCCAGCCTTCCTTGCCCGCGGGCTGAGGGGCTGAGCAGGTGTTCTTACATGCTCAAGGACTCTGGGTGTGCAAGCCGACTTACCTCCTCACACCCAGGTCACCTTGGAGAACTCGATAGAATGGCCGCCCCCAGCCCCAGGGTTCCGACGTGGTGGTTGTGCCGTAGGCACTGTACGTTTGTTTATTTTCAACGTCTCCTAGGTGAGATGACGTGCTCGTGCTTGAGCGCTGCCCCGTCTCAACTCATGCTGCAAACTTGGCACAAAAGAAGCCCAGCCTTCTCTTTCTGCAGATGGTTTGTTTTTTCCAGGGGGGCGCACAGGAGTAGGGAAGGAAGACAGAGGAGAAGATGTGCCTTCCCTTCTGGTGAACATGAAGCTCCCTGAGCCAACAGCTAGGCTCACAGGCCTGATGCTGGGGTCCTTAGCAGAATGGGCCGTCTGGAGCTTCTGCTACTGATGAATCACGCACGCCTCCCTCGGGCCTATGGGTCCCATTGCAGAGGGCAGTAACAGTGAGTCCCTGGAAAAGCACCCTGCGCCACGGAAGCTGGCAGCTCTGTTCCAGGAGTGTAGGAAAGGTTAGTAAAAACAGGGACTGTCTCTGGGCGCACATCAAGAGCCCTGAGACGATGACCATAAACTCATTTCCAAGTCTGCATCTGGTGCCTGTGTGGGAATGAACCCTTTGCTCTCGTGAACTGTATTCAGGGTCACGAGCTGCTAAGAGGCACTCAGTGTTGGAACACCAGCTTCTGATATGGTCAAGTTTATCCAGAGAAATGCTAACCCTACAGTTCAGCTCCACAGTGCTTTTGATTTTAACTGCCAGGTTCCACAGTCCAGTTTCCGGCTTTCTCAGCCTAACACATTCCCTCCAACGAGATCACACCTCCCACCTTTCCTCTGAGTGGCTTTCTTTATTTCCCACTTCTGTCTGGTAGAAGGAAGATTCCTATTCTCCTATGTTTTGACTGTATGAAGTTTTTGGACTATATGAAGGCATGTCTTGCTATTCTTCCTGATGGGAATGGTGGCTGTAAACACACGAAGATACCTATACACCTTCCATATCCTAAGGGCTCTGTGCTTTGCACTTTTATAAGTTACCTCAAACTCACACAAAAACTCTGGAAGGTCTGGAAGTGCTAACATTATTCCACAGCTGAGAGATCAAGTGTGTTTAAAGCCAAAGAAGGAATAAATTGGCTTTACCTCATGTTGTTTCCTTGTGAAATAAAACCAATGAAATACCTCTGTGGCAGAACCTCCATGACTCAGTTGGGTGTTCTGAGAGCACCAGGGAACTCCTTATGAAATGCTCCATTGGCATCCATCCTGATGTGCATGGAAATTTCCCCTAAGTAATTTTATTTGTAGAAGAAAAAGACCACTCACACATTTAAAGATAATTTGTAGAGATTACACTTTTGAATAAAATGCTTTTTTGTTTTTTTGAGAGTTTTTTGCTACAGGGTACATGCTCTTGCCAGAGAGACAGAGAGAGACAGAGAGACAGAAAGCGAGAAATCACCCCCCAGGGAGGATGGCCACACCGCAATCCCTTCTTCTCTATTCTCCTCTCGGGATCTTGGGCACGCACGCACATGCGCCTGGCATGAATTTAAGCCACTGGGTCCAGGACTCGAACTGTGGTTGACTACATAGGAGTTCAGTAACATAGCCATTACGCTAACTGCTGGTCCCTTGAATAAAATGTTTTGATAACATTTATGCTACGTTTTATAGCAAGATGCACTGAAACTGATAAAATTTTACCCCTGAGTCTTCTAACCAGATACAATTTCATTTTCTTTGTCTTACAAACCCATTACATGCTTCAGGTAGGAGTGCCGAAAGTGTCAGAGTTCCCAAGACAGCCACAGTGCCGTCTTGACCATTTCCCTTAAACGTGGAAACAACCGGCACAGTCTTGGTGTCCTCGGTCTCTATGTCACAGAAAAGACATTAGATTCGGCCAATGTGCAATATTAACATGGAACTTCTGGAATCAAAGTGGCCTTATCTACAGCACCAGATGGAGAAGCCATGTCACAAAGCAAAAAAAACTTAATTGTGAATTTTATCATCAGACTCACCCCAGACATGGACAGTAGGCTCTTACTCTGAGTACGGGAACTGCAGCAGATCCGTGAGGAACGTGGACATTTGGCCTTAAATTGCTTGCTTTATGGTGACAAGCACAGCAGTGGCATAAGGTAGAGCCAGAAAACTTACAATGGAAGAAAAAAAAAAATAGGTACAAAGTGTGAGAAAGATCATTCTGAAGAACAGGCAGGGAAGTAAAGAGAAAAGCCTTTCTAAAGTAAGTGACATTCAGATTTGGCCCTAAAAGATGGACAGAGTGAAAAGAAGACTTCAGGGGGAAGTTCCAAAGAAAGGATGCCCCAAGGAAGGGACAAGGCAGGGCAGCCCGGGAGGATAAAGGACAGAACCACCCAGACCTGTAGGATTAGGATGGGGGGCTCACCAGGAAGGTGCGTGTAACATTTCTGGTCCCCATCCAGGAGTTCTGGTCCAGAGCGAAGGCCTGCAGTAGGACTGAGGATGGTAGCTGACACTACTGGCCCTCAAGCTCCCTTTAAGACCCACTGAAGTCAAGGTGTTTAAGGGCAGAAAACTGGTTAAAGCAGGATGAGGCCATGTCTTGGGAAAAAAAGTGTAAAGTCCCAGAAGAAGAGCAGACCTCTCTGGACCATGGAGGTGGCAGCTCCATGGGGCTGAGGGCAGTCTCTGGAGGAAGCACAACGCAGAGGGGTGCACCCGGCTCATACTGCCCCACGCCTGCTCTGCTGCCGTGCTCGCTGCAAAGTCTGGGGGCTAGCAGGGCTTGCCTCATAGATAAGCCCTTTATTTTTTTCATAAGAAAG